CAATTTTTTTATCTTTTCCTGTAATCTCTTTCAAAAAACTCTCTTCGGTTCTTGAAGCGTCCTCCATTAATGACATTGAACTTCGTTTTACTCGTGCCATATAGTTATCCTTGTCTATTATTTCTGTTTTTAAGTCTTCAATAACAGATTTCAATATGTCAAAAGTGTCTGGCTCATCCTCAGCTGCTGCATCCATACAGTTTCGGGAACATATTGCTAAACTGTCCCTTACGATGGTATATTGTTTGTTCATCCTTGTCCAACAGCTTCTATGAACTACTTTTTTACATACGACACAAAACAATACAGTTGATTCTTTATTTTTGCAACATTTAAAAGACGACATTTTCGGGTTGAATCTTTAAAAATGAACAAAAAGTTTATGTGCACTCGGACTACAGTGCGTTTCAAGTTTCGTAGTTTTGTTTATGTTAAGAGCAGAATGTAGAGAGATAAGCTCATTAGCAAAAAATAGGTACCTGGAGATAAGAGTCTATTGTTATTTTTGTTATTTTATTTTAATGGTATAGAATTTTTCAATTGTTTTTCGAATTTACCAGGAAATGATTTGATTTTCACTCATGAAACACTCACAAACAAAAAGTTTACACTCTCACAAACACAATGATACCCAATTTATCGAAAAATGTGATATTTAAACTTGTCAAATTCAAGATTTAGAGGAGCCTATGTTTGACTCTGCACACTAATGTGTGTGTATGTTGTGTATCAAAATGTCAGAGGTTTGATGGAGGTGAGTTCTTTCCCGCTTTTTGTGTGATTCGTGCGGATCGCAGCTTCCACTATTCACAGAGCTCCAGGGATCGAGGTGTTCTCATCTAAAGTTAATGTCAATAAATTTAAGTATGGTATGTATATGTATTTGCATTGTATATGGTGCCTTCCTGTCCGCTATCCATTTACGAATCCCTATTTAATTTTCTTGAAAGTCTTGATTTTATCCATAACAGTAGCTTCATAATGCATGGGTGAAAAAAGTGATCTGTGTCTTGTTGCTGAGGATAAGCACCATCCTACTCTGGATGTTGAACTGCTGTTACTGAGTACTAGAGCTAAGGAACTGGCAACCTAGTCGAGCAGATAAAATTTTAAGAAAGCAGATTTTCTAGCTCTTTCTAGAAGTCGTTCAAGCACCAATTGGCAGTTCCTCGAGCTATATACTGATACAGATATAGCAGTAGAGTCTTTTTATAACAAATTGTATGAAGTTCTAAATGCCCATGTCCCTAGATGCGGGAAAAAAAGACAGTATCCTCTATGGTTTAATAATAAAAAATTTAAAGATAAAAGATAAAGGATAAGCTGAGAAAGAGAAGCAAATTGACTGGAGATTTGGAAATTAGGTCACAATTTATAAACATCAGGGCTCAACTGAAAATTGAAATCGATATAGCATATCAGAATTATTTGTTGAAATTACAGGGAGACATTAATATAGACATAAGAGCTTTTTGGTCGTTTATAAATGCTAAAAAGGGCGCGGTGCATATTCCCAACAAAGGAAAGAAAATCTGTAACGCATTTGCAGGATACTTCAACAGTGTGTACTCGGTGGATGAAGATGATTTCCCAATTGCAACAGAATTCTCACATTATAAACAAGTTGTCATCGATAATGTAACTGATGATGATATGATTGAAGCAATAAACAATTTGAAAGTTGGGAGGGCTGTTGGCCCAGACAATATTCCATCATACTTACTTAAGGGTTTTATGGATATATTTGTCTACCTGCTTCATATATTATTATATCTCAGTCTTAAAAATTCAGTATTCCCATCTTTCTGATGGAAACGAGCTTAAGTATGTCCTATCTATAAAAAGGAAGATAGGTCAGATATTAAAAACTATCGTCTCGTTGTCCTATCAGCGCACGCCAAAGTATTTCAGGCAATTATATACAACACAGTTTACTTTTCAGTTAAAAACCTGATCTCAATACATCAACACGGTTTTATGAGCAAACGATCTACTACCTCAAATCTAATGAATATAACTCAAGACATATCCGAAGCATTAAACGACCGTCTCCAGTTAGATTCAATTCATACAGACTTCGCTAAAGCATTCGACAAAGTATCACATAAAATATTAATACCTAACTAAATTCAATCAAGAATTTCGTTTTAGTAATTGGTTGCTCAGGATGATGACTTCCTATCTACACAATAGAGGACAACAGGTAATCATGAAAGAATACTCATCTGTTCCTTTTAGAACCTCATCGGGAGTGCCTCAAGGTTCCAACTTGGGTCCGCGATTATTCCTAATGTTTATTAATAGCATAACATTTGTTATTATCAATGCATCTTACCTTTTGTTCGCGGATGATTCAAAAATTTATTATAAAATAAAATCGAACAACGACTGCTACTCCTCACAAATGGATTTGAATATTTTAGATTGATCTGAAAAAAATAAGCTTCACTTCAACATATCCAAGTGCGCAATTATAACTTATTCAAGAAAAAAAGAGGCAATCGTGTTCGACTACAGCATGAACGGCGTATTCTTGTCGAGAGTAACTGAGGTGATGGACCTAGGGGTGACCTTTGACAGTCGGTTAACCTTTAACAGCCATGTATTTAATATTTGCAACAGAGCAATGGAAATGTTTGGTTTTATGGTTAGGCAAACTCGCGATTTCTCCGATCCAGTGTGTATAAAGCATTTATATGTAAGTCTTATACGGAGTCTGCTAGAATATGCAATTGTTGTCTGGTGCCCAAACTACCAATGCTACAAATATTTATTGGAAAAAATTCAAAATAAGGTTTTGAGATACATTGACTTTAGGGCTAAATTATGGACTGCCTGGTAAACGTCTGGTTGTTACCTAGCAGGTACTTTCTATGAACTAGAGAATGGAAAGTACCTGCTAGGTAACAACCAGACACTTACCAGTTGGTCCATAATTTGGCCCTAAAGGAAACAAAAATCTATGATCCCAGGGGATCTGCAACTACTTTACGTGGAAAGTACAATCTTCCAAATCTAGAAAAGCGGAGGGGTATGCATGCGATTATGTATTTATTTAAGGTAGTAAATAGTATTATTGATGATTCCAATTTTTTTCAATAAATTCAATTTCAACGTACCAGCTCATAACACTAGGCGGTTAAATACATTTTATATTAGTACAATCGCTCTTACCAATTCGCATAAGAATTCACCAGTTTTTAGATTGTGTGATAGTTACAACCAGACACAATCTGAAGTTGATATTTTTGGGGTTTCCCTGGGCTCATTGAAACAATGACTTTTGTCAATAATGTAGCACTTAATTTAAGTATTAGTTACAGATTAGAGTAAATAACTTTGGGTTTAACACAAGTTTTGTTAGTTTAAGTTTGGTTTGAGTTAGCTTAAATCATTGTACTTTGTAATTGGGTGCGTCAGCAAACTGTTAAGTGATTGAATAAATAAATAATTAAATAAATAAATAAATTGTAAATTGTTAGTATTTTTATTAGGGGAGGTAACTACCGCTTTTACTCCTACTAAAACAATAGTCCATCAATAGTCTATTTCCAAGATTTTGACAAGCTATCATTTCATTAGGGATAAAAATAATGAGCCGAAATGCTAGGGTCATAAAGAACTCGATGAAACCTTTAAAAAGAGGTATTACATGACCCCTAACCTCTATTCAAATTTAGGGGGTTGAAGCTACAGGGATAAAGAATACTGAAAAATATTTCCCCCTCAAATCAAAAATCGACGCGTCCGAGCGTTTTCCTAGATTTTCATTCCAAATCCAATAAATCGGGGTGGACTGTTTTCCTTGGGAAACCCTGTATAGTACCTACACCTTTATTGTTTAATGACGATTTGAAAATTTATCAAGTTGTGGTCCAATGTACAGGGTGAGTCACCATATTTTGACACCCACCTGCAGCTGTAATTACAGGTGATAGGTAAAAGGTGTAAATACGAAAGTTGGGGCATTTTACCTGAACCGCCTGAATGTTTAATTAAATTGAACAAATGAGTAACACAAAGTGAAAAAATAAGGCGATGTTCACTTTTTTCAAATGGAATGCTCTCCATTTTCTTTCAAATTCTTAAAGTTCCCGTTTTTCTGATTCAGATTATAATATGTCAATATTTCTTCCCAATAGTTTTAGAAATATCTGGAGTTCAGTTATTCAAAGCCAATAGCGAGGCCAATAGTTTTTGGAATATATTTCACCTTGATTTACCTGTCACAAAACATTTTGATACGTGAATCTTTGAATAACTAAACTCCAGATATTTCCAAAATTATTGAAAGAATCATTACCATATTATCGCATATTATATAATCTCCCGTATAATCTGAATCAGAAAAACAAGAACTTTAAGAATTTCAAAGAAAATAAAAGGCATGCTATTTAAAAAAAGTGGACATCGACTTACTCTGTGTTGCTCATTTGTTCAATCTAATTAAAAATTCTGGCGGTTCAGATAAAATGCTACAACTTTTGTATTTACACCTTTTACCTATCACCTGTAATTACGGCTGCAGATGGGTGTCAAAATATAGTGACTCACCCTGTATGTGATCAACAATTATTACAGGAACACCTATATCTTGCTCAGAAATTGATGTTTCCTATTAAAAGTGTCCACCACCACTCTGTAGTCTGTACATACAAGTTCCATCTTCTATGACTATGATTAGGGATTATGGCAAATGTTGTAGTGTATTTAAACTAAACTGGGCATTAGCTCGGTTGTTGGAAGGTAGAGAAATAATAAGAATCCATTCTTTTTATGCCATTTACCTACCCTACATACATACGAAGGTCTAAAGAAGCTGTTTCTTATCAGAACTTCAGACCAAAAAGTGTGTTCTATTTTATTTTCTAAGAATATTTCGTTTCAATTATCAATTCGAGCCTTTGAGAGATGATGAGAAATTAATTTGAATGGTATATTGATGACCAAAATGTGAAATATATGTAGGTACCTTGGACCACTGTGAACTCTAAACTTACCAGCAACTTTGGCCCAAACAAAATCGTTCACTTTGAAGGTTTTCTCCTTAGAAGGCATCTTCAAACAAACAATTTTTAAAGTTTTTAATGGGATATTATTCATGCGTTGGTTAATACAGGAATCATGAACAAATACGGAATGAAATGAATCAATGAACCCATGGATTATCACCCATGTAAACAAATAGTTTAAAGGTGGGAAACTATCGATAGTAATTATCGATATATCGATAGTAATTATTGGTATATCGATAGTTTGCTACACTATCGAACTATCGATAGTTCTACTTGGACAATCGATAGCAGTCCTCCTACTGTCCTTTCTCATGTCGGCGAGTGTCAAGAAATATCATTCACATTTCATCTTTCACTTCCTGTGCATGTGGCACTTACTGTATTTCTTTTTACCCGTTGAATTACTCGGAGCTGCTCAATGTCAAAAGCTTGAACGTTCCTTTTAAAACTACGTTAAGCACTCGATTCGCTCATAGTGCATCCCCCTTACCCCTTATGCACCAAATTTGGGGGGGGGGGGTGCAAGAAGCCCTTTTAGGTAATGACGGTAATGTTAATATTAAAAAATAAAGATAAAATCTGAATTGTGTGTTTTGGAGTGACTCCGAGGAGCTCGTTCGGAGTGACTCGATGCATAAAAGTGCACTCTGCGCCTACCGGTAGGTCCCATTCAGTGTTGCCAAAGCTACCCCGTTCGGGGTAGATCTACCCCTTTTGAAAACAATCTCGCCCTTCCGCTCCTCTCAACTAAATCTACCCCGCTCTAAATACAATCTATGCTATAACACAAAAAGAATGCTTCTGCTTATCGCTAATTAAAAATACTTACAAAATCCAAATTATGAGAAACAATTTATTTCATCTGAACTCTACCTATGCAACGAGTTTTTTTATCTACGCCTCAGATATAACTTCAGCTATGTGCGATTTCCATTTGTCGAATCAGTGCAAAAAAAATGTATCCATATCCTTACATGTTACATGCTTTTAGAAAAAGATGGGGATAGACTCAGTGCCCACTAATTGACAAATGGAAATCGGCATTAGAGATTCCTTTGAGTGTCTCCTTTGAATTTGTGTGGTAATTGATGCAGAAAAATATGTAAAAAGATTATAGGTATTTACCTAACAGCGTCAAAAACCCATGGGTTATGAAATTTTAGTTATTTCATTAGCAAAGCAGTCTGCTTTACTGCACACTATGCGGTGAAGTAAATACCGCACACTTTGCAGGTTATTTTAACGCAGACTATACGGTAATAGTTATTTACCTAACAAATGCGGAAAGTGATACTTTACCGCACGCAACGGCAGTTGACCGAACGACGCGGAGCGGAGTTCGGTCAAGCCGTTAAGGGCGGTATATAAAGGCACTTTCCGCATGTGTTAGGTACAAAATTTTACCTATGAGCATCTACATCTCTAAAAAAAGGCATTGATAAAATTAATTATTGAATCAGATTAATTAATGAAATTAGATTAGATATAGAAATGATCAAAAATCCATTTTCTGAAAAAGAGGGGATTTCTGATTAAAAAAATCAAATTTTACTTTACCGCACACTATGTGGTAAAGTGCACTTTATCGCATAGAGTGCGGTAAAGTGATACTTTCCATTTGCAAATACGTGCTGTAAAGTGCACTTTACCGCACGCTCGTAGGTAAAGTAATTTTACCGCATAGTGTGCGGTAAAATGCTAGTTTTTGCACGCACGTAGGACGTAGGTGAAATTTTTGTTGCTACCCCGCAGTGATTCTATTCTACCCCGCTATCTTGCCGTAATCTGCCCCAATAAAGAAAGAGCTTGTGGCAACACTGGTCCCATTTGTTTCATTGATTGTGTGCCTACCGTATGTATAACGCTCAAACATTATGGTAGGTCCTCAATTGCCACATGATATAACGCCTATCGGTAGGTACTGTTTGTAAAAAGAATCCTGAGCCTACCGGTAGGTTCATATTAATTCAAGAATCCGTCGCCTACCTATTGTACGCTATTATTGTGCATATTTGTGCATTTAAGTTCGATGTGTGACATATTTGAAAAAGGTTTTCTACGTTTTTGGTGGATTTAAGCTTCCGAGAATCTTCTCTTTGAAGCTTGGCGAGCGGAGCGAGCAATCCAGAGGCTCAATAATATTTTAAATTTCAAGGGGTTATGCCTATTTAATAAAGGTTTTTCACGTTTTTGGTGGATTCACCGGCGAGCAGAGCGAGCAATCGCAGACTCAAAAATATTTTGAACAAGAAGGTGATATATTTGAAAAAGGTTTTTCTCGTTTTTGATGGATTTGCTCTCCCGAGGATCCTCTATTCGAGGTTTGGCCAGCATAGCGAGCAATCGAAGATTCAAAAATGATTTGAAGGTGTATGCAGAAGGATTTTCAATAGGTAGCCGTCTAAAATGACGCAGATTTCAAACATCAACAAGTTTAAAGTCCAAATTAGAAAGATGTTAAGTACTAATAAAGGCTTATTACTCAGTGGATGAAGTTCCTAATGACAATTTTGTAAATAAACAAAACTGTATTAACGCATTTAGCTAGCAAGAGCTGACTGGTAGGATATACGGATTCTAATGTAATAAAACACCTCCAGTAGGCGCTTGATCAATTTACGAAAAAGGACCTACCTCTACCAGTAGGCGCACAATCGGTGGATGAAAAAGGACCTACTGGTAGACGTACGACCGTTGGAAAACAAAGGACCTACCGGTAGGCGTAGGATTCACTCCCTAAAAGGAATACAGTAATTGTGGCATCAAGGCACCTAAAGTTACGGAAGCCCGGTCGTGCAATCTGTGTTCCGAGTTCTTAGTTCATAGTTCTGACTTCACAACTCGGAATTTCTGATTTACTACGTCACAACTCGGAATTTCTGATTTTCTACGTCATAACTCGGAAATGCTCATTTATTTCACTCCCATCGAGCATCATCATGACTATTATATACTCGTCTGCGGTCTGGCAGATACTCGCAACCGCCAGAATAGCCTGGCTATTCACATATACTTTTTAAATCAATAAAAGAATATTCCCTCAAAATTTCAGCCTTGTGGAAGCAGGTAATAAATGATTGACCCTATAATAACTTTCGTGTCACAGAGTCGTATTGGCTTTAAATAAACTAATTTATTATTATTACTAAATATACAAGAATGATAACTGATAACACCATAAATGACAACACAAATATACTAAAGTCACTTTGAAAATAATAACTGAAATTCCGCTCTACACCGCACGCCTATGACCTCCGTCAGAAATAAACAAATAAAAATTAAATGTCGGCGTTCCTGCCGTTCAATGACAGGATGGTATCCCCTAATGGCGGCGTGCGCAGAAAAGATGCGCGGGAGAGTTAGCCTGCTGATTGTTTTTGTATATGCTGTGCTATTAGCGTTAGCGGAGCCCGCTATCTAACGGAACTTACCGGATCCCTTACCGAAACGCTATGTTAGGTTAAAATTAGTTTACGCTCCATTTTATGTCTGCAAAAAACAGCAACTTTTAATAATTCCTCCATAAAAAAACACCAAGGGAAAATTAATCAAGCTCAGGAATCTTCAGGATAAATAAAAGTTAGAAAACAAGCAAAATTATTGGTTTAGGTTTAGATCACTCAACACAGCTGTCAAATTGTAAACAGGATAAGGGATTAGAAGATTTATGTGTCTTCGTGTCCGAGAACTGTAAAATACCATGTGAAATACCGTATTGTTAGCGGTACCGTATTAGCGTAGCGTCTGACGCACGAGAACTCTCTATTACCCAACTACGTTAACGTTTGATTATACGTGAAGAGTAGATGGAGCTCACGCTCACTGAAAAAGTTCTCTCTCGGATCGGGAAAGGATACTATTAAAGAAGTACCTATAGTCAAGACCTATAGTCACTGTGAAACTTGCCATTAGTTGTATTTCTTTCACACCTAGGACTTTGAGGAGTTCCGGAACAGCTCCGGGGCGTTACACACTATACACTTATTTCTTTCGAAAAATGTTTGTTGCACCACGCATCTGTTCCTTTCAAACAGGGGCGACTAACAGCGGAGCGAGTAAAGAGTATTCCAAACTCTGGAAAGGAATATAACTATTAAAAAAGAAAATCCATGGAAATAAACAAATTCACCAACCAAGGATGATTCACCAACGGCCTTTTTTTGTTATCTCGAAGCGGCAAGATTGTTTGATTTTTTTTGTTCCAATAGTTCTGGTTCCGAGCTGTTCGGTTCGGGTGAGGAGGATCGACGCTCTCTTAACTTTAGAACACTTGACAAAAAACTGCTCTGACTCTACTCTATTCGAGGCAAGCAGCATTTGACTTTTGACTTGACATCGACAAATATCAATCACATGTCCATGTCAGAATATAAATAAATAAAATAAATAAATAACAATAGTACCATCCTTTGACTGTTTTCCAAAGTTTAATCATTAATAAATAAATTTCGACCATGTCCACGTCGGAAGTATATAGCGATTTAACTTTGTAAGTACACTTTTTTATTTTGTCAAAAATTCCTTGAACTTTTTTGGACTTTGGTATTGGTTATAAATTCCTTTATTTCTAAAGAACAATTCAACACTAAACAGTGACCATTATTGAATTACATATTCATCTTTTCAATTATGTTGTTGTTTTCATACCATGCTATGCTGCCTCACTTGTTTTCATTCATAAAATCTTAAATATTATAATGTTAACTCATAAACTGGGCGTTGTTGTCATTACTTAAGTAAATACAATAATAATACATACCGAGATACATACCTTTCGTTACAGCAAATTCTAGCTCCCAAATTGAGTGTTCATTTGTACTGCTTTTCTTACTTCAAGCAGATCTCAGCATCAGATTGGTGTTCACTTGTCCCATATAATAAGCTCATAAATAGCAGCTCCTAGCAGATCTTCCTGATTTTTTGAGCAGGTAGAGCAAGTACCTATGAACAGCCTAACTAGGTGCGACTGATATACAGGGTGTCCACTTATTGCGATATTGGACGATATCTCCTTGCAGGGTGATGTAAGGAAAAAAAAATACAAAGTTGTTTGATACTTAAAGATGCATTAGTTAAAAATATTTTTGATATGCAGGGTGTCCGAATATCTCCGGAAGTATTCGGAGTTTATCAAATTTCAGACCGGCATTTTATCTATGGTCCAGTTTATTCATCTTCAGATAAACTTACTGGAAACTATCTGCAAGGTAAATTTACCGTTCTATAATCCTATTGATTGTCTGATAACTAGATGAAAATTGGGTTTACATATTGCGTTTTTATCCATCAGATTGCATTACCTGACAGTTTATCAGAAGGTGAATAAACTGGCTCTAACTGATATTGGGACAGTTTAAGATTATAATAAAAAACATTTCTTATGAATATAAACAACAAAATTGTCATTATCCAAGCTGATTTTGCAATAAATATTTTCCTTATTCTTGGATTAAAAATGGCATATTAATTCCTGATTTGAATAGTCACTTTACCTTAGATACAAATTTTACGTTTTTAACTCCTTTCTAGTATTAAACTTAAATAAACATACATACTTATGTATATCCACTTTTTTTGCGCTCCATGATCAATGGTTGGATGGAATAACATCAGTTAGTATAACAAACTCATCCAGGAACCACCAATCAATAAATGTTTTTAAACAGAAATAACTAATTCAATCTTCAACATAACTGAACTTCTATACAGAACTATAAACCGATAAGCATAATAAGCACCTCTGCAAAGTTGTTTCATAGGGATACACTGTACAGTTTTTCAAAAAAAAACAAATTGTATCATAGAAAAGTCCAACGAAGGGGTTCGCAAAAGACTTCCGGGCGTACTGTGAGCCTTCTCTCACCCACAAAGAAATCTTTATAGACATAAGAGGAGCCTTATGTAATGACCAAAAAAAAAGTAGGTAGGTATTTTCGTCTCTCAGATCAGATCCTGTTTGATGTTTCATCTTTATACTAAAGGACTACTGAGGTAGGGGTCATTCAATCCTTCCACAAAACTACCCCAAATAATATGACAAAAAACAAATTTTTTTCCCTTTTGATATTCAATATTTTGAGAGTGTGGAGAAGGGGTATTTCAATTTTTAATTTTTTTCCTTTCAAAACATGTTTCATCCCCATATTTGAAATATTTGGAGGACAAGTCAAGAAGGGGTTTGTCAATTTTGCCACAACCGCAAGTAGGTGTGAAAAAATTACTCTAAATAAATATGAACATTAAATGTTAAATTTTTTCCATTGCATTTCCTAAGATATGCAATATTTTTAATGATTTTTTGAATGGATGATATGGTGAATTGATGAAACGTAAAATATACTATTACAGTAAAAACTATGCAATTTCAGATATACAACAGCAGAAAAACTATATCTAGAACCCAAAACAAGTGACGAGTTGCTTATAATCGACCGAGCATCCGAAGTTATCAGCTTACAAAGGAACGCGGGCCAAATTCCTCCATCCAATACCCGAATAGACTTTTGCGGTTTGTTGGGATCAATCGAATTACTTGCTGGCCGGTATTTGGTTATCATAACTCAGAGAGATTTAGTGGGGTAAGTATATTTAAAAAGTAGACAAAACATTGAACTTAAACAATTGTATGTTTTTAATTGCCTATAGTTATTATGCAATCTAAAGTACATTTGCTTGTTATTTATTTGGTTTAGACCTTGTCCCTACTAGTTGGCTGATATTTTATCATAAATGTTTAGGTTTTTATAAACAATAGGCGTTAGAAAAATAAATATATTCCGCATTTAACTATGGTTACCTAAATGAAAAGTGCCCTTGACATGCAAAAGAAGGAGGATTCATTGAAAATATTCTCTCTTTTTTGTCCTATAAGGTACAAATTCAACTTTATAAAGATGAAACTCAGCTCCTGAGACTCACTATTAGATGTTGATTGAATGAAATTTCTCATATTCTCAACAGAATCAACTCAAATTATTTGAACAGAAAATATTATGTTAACCGCGTTTAATATTAGCTAGATATTCTATCTTATGACAAATTAACAAATTGTAGAACATGTCTTTTTTTCTATTAAATTAATGTTGTCTAAATTGTTCCTTTTTTTTTCAGTTATATTGCTGGTCATCCTGTATGGAAACTAGTCAAAGCAGAACTTATTCCTTATTCAAAAAGTCTATTACATTTGACCAATGAAAAACAAGCAGACAATAATGTCTACCTTAGTATGGTGGAAAATGTTTTAGCCACTCCAAGCTTTTATTTTAGTTATAGCTACGATATAACACATTCAATTCAAAGATTGCACGATATCAGCCCCGAATTCTGGCAACAGTCATTGCTAGAACGGTCTGATGCGAGGTAAAATCAATTTGATTTGTGAAACGAAATATAATAAATATTTGTTTGCCATAGATTTGTCTGGAATAAGCACCTTTTGCAACAATTCAGGGAGCCGAGCTTAAAACGGTTCGCTTTACCGTTAATGCATGGTTTTGCCTCCATAAATCAGTGTGTAATTAATGGACATAATTTTGTTTGGGCTCTTATATCACGGAGAAGTGTGAACAGGTAATTAGATTTCTGAAAATGTTAAGAATTACTTGGGAAAAGACAGTTATCAGTAATTGTTAGTTTTTTATTTGTTCAATCTGAGAATTCTCTGTGTTAAAATAAATGTTTATACTCTAGGGCAGGCACAAGATGGTTCCGTAGAGGCATTGACAAATCGGGTAACGTAGCCAACTTTGTAGAAACCGAACAAATTGTAGAATCTGGAGAAGGAGACAGAGCTTCTTTTGTTCAAGTAAGTTGGCATACAAATTTCAACCATTCCAATAAAAATTTAAAAAATATATTCACAGATTAGAGGGTCAATTCCTTTATTTTGGTTCCAAAAACCCGACCTCAGGTATAAACCCAGCATTGATATTGACCATAGTGTCGATCCTCAGGAGCATCAAAATGCTTGTCTGAGGCATATTGAATCGATGGCCGGAGTTTATGGCAGGCAAGTTATGGTTGATTTGGTCGATCAAGTTGGATCAGAAGGTAATAGTTTCCTTATTTTAAACATTTTCATCAATTTCTTCGAACTTTAATTCTGCTGAGGTTAATTTGAAATAAAACTAATTTTCATTAGAATTACATCCCTCTACAATTAGGTATTTTTTGTTCTTCAATGTTCCAACGTCTATATCCAGTTGTTTTGTGTCACCTATCATTACTGCCTTCTCTGCTTGAGAATCAAATTTTTCTCTAAATTGTTCTAGTATATGAGAGTAAGCTGTGCATCCAACAATTCTGATGTTACTTATGTTTGGCTTATGGCCGTTTCCACCAACTATTTTAGGGAAGCTTTAACGATAGGTATTCCTTAAGCTGACATTTCTCCATGAAAGACTCTCATTTCAAGGAAAACCTATCATTAGGGCTTCCCTAAAATAGTTAATTCCCGGCACATGAAAGTGGCTTATCCTAGCGCTGGATGCCGTTTGTCCAATTTCAGCCCTAATTTTGAGTGAAACTCATACAACGTAAATCGTGGATTAGCAGAACTTGCTAAAATACTTCAGTCAACAGAAGAATTCACAGCAATCTGCCACCTGAGATACAATTCAATACCTCGTAGTTCCTATCTGATCTGTTTCTGAGCTTTGTACACAATAAGCGGACAAGAACAATGACTCTTCCTTTAAAGTTGTCGATCCTCCAGTCTCTGATGGGATAAAAAATTATCTAATGTTGATTTTGGGTTTGAGCTGCGCTGTAGAGGTAGTCCCTCTTGTTTAAGACGGTCGCATCGAGAGTCATAGACTGAAGATGGTTTTAAACAATTGGTTCTTACAGGGCAGTCAGCTCTCATATATGGCTCCACGTGCTACACCCTGGATACTGCACCGACCTGCAGGCTAAACTATGTGAGGGTAGTCAAATATGGCAAGAAAATTAGTGTTAGGAAGCAGTAGCACTAAAAGTAATTGCTGGCGTATTTCTAGATATAGAAAGAAAACGGAAGCAAGTTATACAACCCAGGCCCTCAGTCCTCAGCAGAGGGTGCTAAGAATCTCTGGTCCTGTCATGAAGAAGATTGCAACCTGGAATGTTCAAAGTATGTTTCAGGCAGGAAAAGTGAATAATGTTGTCAAAGAGATGAAACTGTTAGACATGGATATTTTGGGAGTTAGTGAAGTAAGATGATCTAACTCAAGTGAATACCAGATAGACAATCACTGTATCTATTACGCAGGCAATGACGACGCAAATCACTATAACGGCGTCGCAATAATTCTAAACAAAGAAACTCAGAAATTCCTAATCTCTTTTGTCCCTGTGTCGGATTGAGTCATATTTCTCCAGTTGAACTCTAAACCTTAGCCTTAGTTAAAAATTCAATTATTTATGAGAGTCGTAAGATCTATAACCACCTACCTGAATATATAAAGCTTTATCCAACCCTCGGGCAATTTAAAAACGCAGTTAAGAGACTTTTGGTGGAGAGGGCATATTATGAGTTGGGAGAATACTATGGTGACACTTTTTAGTTTTTAACTTATTTGGAATATATTATTGTATTTTTTGTATAGTCGAGTGTATAGTATTTCGGTTTCACTATTTGTCTGATTTTTAATAATTGTAAGTTTTATTGTATTTTTAAACCGTTTTACTTCCTGCTTTCTGTTGAGTATTGATTTGATCTCTCCTGTTCATCTGTTGCTATTTAAAATTAAAATTTTATCTTTTTTTTTGAAGTTTACCAATATTCGTGTTAGACTTAGACTTAGTTATGTTTGCTTGTTTTATATTTTATATTTTGTACGTTGACCTTAGGACCTGTAATGTTAATTGAATCTATTTTGACCTTTATTATTGGACTTATACTTATTATGTGATACTTTATTTTTTATTTTTTTTTTTATTAGCTTTGTCAACAAAACTTGATTTTAGACAATAAAACATATTTTGATTTGATTTGATTTGAAACCCTTCAATGTTAATATTATTCAAGTGTACGCTCCTACAAGTGAACACTCAGACGATGTCATAGATATATTTTACGATCAAATTCAAACCGTCCTAAGCTTCACAAAAAAAGCCTGAAATCAATATTTATATTCATATTCACACATGCTAAATGTATCTTATCTTATCTTTTGTTACAGGTAGATTAGAAAAAGCCTTCAAAGACACCATCAATTATTTAGCTCATCCGTCCGTGAGATATGAACCATTCGATTTTCACGCCGAATGTAGAAAAATGAAATGGCATCGATTATCAATTTTAATAGACAGAGTGTCTTTGGATCAGGACGAAATGGGGTACTTTTTGATTTTGAAAGATGGTACTCTGTCCTCATTACAAGAAGGTTATAGATTTATAATACAATATTTAGTATAATTATAATTGTATTTATTTCAGGTGTCTTTAGAACAAACTGTATAGATTGCCTGGATCGTACCAATGTAGTCCAAAGTATGTTAGCGCACAGGAATTTAGAAATTGTGCTTAGGAAATTCGATATTTTAAGCCCAGATCAAAAGCTAGAAATGCAACTTTCTTTCGAGTCTTTGAACAAAAATGTTTGGGCTGATCATGCCGACCTCATCAGTACTCAATATTCAGGTACTGGAGCTTTGAAAACGGATTTTACTAGAACGGGCAAACGAACAAAAGCGGGACTTATTCAGGACGGAATCAATTCGTTGATGCGTTATTATAAGAATAACTTTAACGATGGTTTCCGACAAGACTCTATCGATTTGTTTTTGGGCAATGGAAAAGTCGTTTCACCAATTGCACCACCACCAGGATGGAGATATATTACTTTTCCTTCAGTTTTACTTATAGCTACGGCGATGTTTGTAGCTTCAGCTATATTGCCCGCAGAATATTCCACTGAATGCTTGATGTATTTGATGTTTTGGGGAGGAATGATGGCAGCTACAGCTTATTATATATTTCAATACGGTCCAGAGTTTGTGGATAAGCCAAAACTAACTAATAATAATTCATAGAAAGTGCATTTTTTGAACTTTTATGTTATTTGAATATTCCCGTGGTTTAAAGAATGTTATTCGATAGTTTAATTAGAGGTTAAAGTGTTTATCAATTTTAATTTTTTGCCAGATATTTTCAATTTTAATAATAATTATGATAGTTTCAAATAACAAAACTACAATATAAGAAAGTAATTATGTTTTATTTGTATTGAACTGCTTACCTTATTCCTTGTAAAGTGTATGCAGCCTTTGTATTTATTTGAAAGCTCATTTTCAACAGACAATATACATCGTCATGTCATCTACAACCTGTTGTTATAACAAGAAAAAAAGCATTTATAGATATTTCAGTGAATTCATATTTTTTATATCCACTTATTAGCTTTCCATTGTAATAATGTTCCTCTGGAAACATCCACATTTTATTAGGATTAGATATGTAGATATATGTGTTATATTATGAATGAATTCTACCAAGATATCGGTACATATTTTGATCATATGTGAATTTGGTGTGTTATTTGAAGAATGTTTGATATCTTGGTATAATTCTTTTACCTATTAAAAATTTTATTACTGGTTTTTTAATTGTTTAATTTACGATAACGAACAAAATAATAAAACAACAATGAACAAAGAAACAATAATTACCTGCTAAAAAAAACACAACTAAAATCTAATCTAAATTATTGTGTGCCTCCTCGCGCTTTCTCACCGCTACAGCAGTTTCAACAAGCAAATAGAGACACTTAAATTTTTCCCTCTCCTCTTCTTCTGTCATCGCAGGTTCTGGCACAAATTGTGGTGTACGTTCCGTTACAACTTTAGCACCTGATTGATTTACTCCTGGTAGTGGAATCGGTTGTTGAACTTGAAAGTTACCATACGAGGATGTCCTAGAATTATCAGATAGTTGTTAGTGATTGATTGGAAAGCTTTATTGATGACTCTTTGAAGCTGTTTTTTCCTGATAGAAGGAAGCAAAAGGCCTGAAAGCTGGAACAAAATTAATTCATCATTTTTTTTTTAAATTTAAAAATCAGTCTTTTAATGTTTCGGAAAGGATATCTCAGTTCGGACTGTTCGGAGTGTACTAGGGGAGCAAAAATCATCAATTTGTTGATGTAGAGACTATGGATAATGATGTTGCCTATATAACTTTTCAAGCAAAAGCAATAGATGCCGCAGTAAGCAAAGCTAATAAAAAAATTGCAAGAAAAGCAAATTATCTCACGATGCGTATCCTTGATTATTATAGAACGGAGCATTAGCCATAACCATTCCGCTGTATTGATGTTGGGGTGCATTTTGCAAATAGGGATTGAATTTTTCTTCATAGCCCTCTTCCGTCTCCTCGGTTTGGTAAAGCATCATGGTTGCATCGTATTCTTGGCCCATTCTCAGTCTGTTCTGTCCTCCATAAGCATATTCATCTGCCCATCTAAGACAGTATTTGAATCAATATCTTCAACTAAATATTTTTGTTAGAGTATCAAAATAGTTAGAGACTTACATTTCACTTATTTAATTTGCACAATACAAATTGACATTTTTGTTCTTATAAATTGGGTATAAATTATAAATCACAGTTATAAGTCCGGAAAATAAACGTTTACAGTATGAGTATGTGAGATGGCATCACTATGATCGTCTTCAAATTGAGATTTGTCATATTAAAACGTAAATAAGTGTTCCTCTAAATATTTTGAGCAAATATGAAAAAAAAAAAAAAAACATACCCCATCCTTGCTTGGTCGGCTATCATATTATTAGCTGCAGCATTCAGCTTTTTACCCCTCCTGGAAATTGTATAATTCAATGGATCGTGTCCTTCTCTGCGAATCATTTCGGGTAATATTCTCCTCCGTGCATTTATAAACCAGTTGCACACCTAAGAAATTATAATAGTATCTATTGTTTTTAATATGATTTTTTTCTTATGCTTTTAATCCATTTTGATTTAGCTATTAGAGCAATTACTTTGATTAGCATATAATAATGTAGGTATACATCTTCATATTGTATTCTACCTACACAAACTTTTAAAGCTGCTATCAAAAATGAATACAATTTACATACTTCTGATCTTAGTACAACATCTACCTATTATTCATATGATAAATCAATTATTTACTTTTTAGCTCAGATAACTCACAGAATCAATCCTCTTACCTGCAGTACAGTCAAACCAGCTTCCTGGGACAAAGTGAGCTTCTCAACGTCGCTCGGATATGCATTGTAGCGATGTTCGAAAAGCCAACGTTTCAAAATTTTGACAGAGTGCTTCGGGAGATTACCTCGGCGTTTGCGGACCGGCGTCAGACCCATGCCCATGCCCATACCCATCATGTTCATGTTGCGATTACCCATCGCGGTCATGTTGCCCATGTTGGGCAGGGGGTGCGTTAAATTTCCCATGTTCTGGTGATATGGGCCCTATAAATTAAACAATAACCAATATTTAGCTAGATATTATTATAGACACAGCTATTCTATATTCCTAGTGTTTACTCAAGATTGCATAATTCCAGCTTAATGCATAAGCAGTGCTGGAGCTACATTCGAGAATTGACTATAAAGCTTATACATATTCATATAACCAGATAACGACCACACACAGTCAAAGCATTCCTAAATGAAGTCAAATTGAAGGTGCCCAACAAAGACTTGCTGATGAATATCAATGATAATGGAACGCCGCACATTCCTAAATTATTTTAAAACATACAGGATGGCTCAATAAGTAATGGTGACCCAAAGCTACCTATGATTTTTAAATGACTCTGTATAATATTTCCATATTTTCGAATTTTTTACCTACTTGAATTTCAAGTGACTACCTGCTTAAATACTTCCTATACTCTATACGTCTTCAGCGTATTTATCCAACGACCCATTTTTTTTTATGTTTCGGAAATGGTATGGCCGTGGCAGAGCGGCCGGTTCCGGTTGAAGGATAACTGTGACCCTCGGTTCGGGATCAGCAGAAGTCGTAATCGACTTGTTACTGGTTTTTTTTCTTCGCTTGCCGGATTTTTCTTTTCTACGTTTCGTTGATCTATCCCTGGCTTTCCTAATATCGATAAATGATTAGAGTTCTAGGTGATCGTGACTACGTTCATCATCCGCATTCAATCAAAAGCTTCAATAGTTCAAGTTACCCAGTAAAGGCTGAGAGAGTTCCTTCAACATGGTGCCGTTAATTTCTCTCATTGGCTCGTTTTCTCCACGAATCGACACAGCTTTGATCTTTGCTTCGTTGCCTTCTTGTTCTTAGTTGTATCTCGTAAAGCTGCCTTCGGTGCTGATCTCGATAACGATGCTCTAACGCATCAATAAGCGCATCATAGTTTTGTTGGGAAGCAGGCGGAAGAGTCTCTAATAAGTCTAAGGCAGGCCCATGCAATACTACAGTCAAACATGTAGCCATGCCATCGGAGCTCCAGTCATTAGCCATTGCAACCAGTCTCGAATTGACGTCTGTACACTAGGGTATTTGATTATATTTGGCACCATACCTACAGCCTTTACTATTTAAGATAGAAAAAAAATTTAAATACAAAACTTGACAGTTTTTTTCTATATTTTCTTTTGACAGTATCAGAAAAAACAAAATCGCATCGGAAAATGGAGAAACGTAGGCAACTTCTACTTTTTTCAATGGAACACCCTGTATATTATGCGATAAAATTAAAGATCTTTTCTTCCTGATTCCAAATATATAAATACTGATCATATTTGAGTGAGTCGTTTTTGATATATCTTAGCTTAAATTTTAAATAAAATCCGAAGGAATTTTATGAAGATTTAAATGTTTAAATTAGAAAAAAGTTGCCTTTTTTGATGCCCATTCAAGACTTGCTTACAGTGTTGCCAAATTCCTTTTCGTTTATGAAATACAGGCTGATTTCTAAGAAACGTCTAAAAATATTTCATCAATTATTTCGAAAAATATTGATTTTGGAGACACAATTTGAATTTGAAAGTTTTATAATTTTTTTCGCTCTACAACATGGCATCTTCAAATTTTGAATCAGACGTTTCGTGATCGAGCTACCATCATCAACTTTATTTTTTTAAATACAGACCTGGATTTTTTATGTTATTTTAAGAAAGCGTTTTTCATTCCCTTTCTAATGATATGCCTCTTATTAAGTATGATTGACCGACGTTTCTGCTCCAAAAAGTGATAAAAAGTGATTTTTACCAAAATCTTATCTTAATTCGGCTCAAGTTATGAACCTGGTATTTAATAAACTAAAAGGAATTTGGCAACACTGTAAAGGATTCTTAATAGACGTCAAAAAGGCAACTTTTTTCTCATTTAACCGTCCTTCTAGCTGTCACCGTTTCGCATATAGCAATAGTGGTATCACCTAAAATATACACCCTGTATATTTGGAATCAGGAAGAAAAGATCTTTCCTTTTATCGCATAATATACAGGGTGTTGTAGCATTTTTATCTTCCTCTAATTTAAATTCATATAAAATGCTACAATAGGGAACTTGCAAGTGAACTAAAATTTTCCAAATTTGTTTTAAATCGATAGTTTATACTGCACAATATTCATATGACCAGTTTTTATTTAATTGATATCGCCCTTCTTACACAAAAAATAATACTTATTTGAAATAAAAAAATTCCCGCCAAAACGATGCTTCCATGATGGCTACCTTTTTTGACGTCACGATTCTGTAAACAAACCTGTCAATAGGGAATTTGCAAGTAAAGAAACTTACAAAAAGCAGTCCTTTACAATATTCTTCATCCATTGCGACAATTTTCACAAAAAGCAAACTTTAACACACTTGAATAACACAAAAATAGCACTGCGTTAGCAGGAGTTTGTTAACTGCGTATTTGTTGTTTACAAAATTTTAACGTCACAAGCGCTGTCATATTGAGATTTTGTGTTTTCGCGCCAAAGTTTTTGATTTGAATTTCAATAATTTTTTTTTCGTACAACGTATAAATTAAAATGGAAAAAAAGAAAACTATGTAATAACTGATCACTAGAAGTATCTAAAAAAAAATAATTTGAGAAATATGAAAATTCCCTATTTTGGAACAAATAGTAAAACAATCAATTTTAGTTTTATGAATGTTTATGTCCGATTGACCAATAAAGTGCTATTTATTGAACAGTTTTGCGTCAATAAAGTAGCACTTTATTGTACTAGTAAAATAAAGTGCTACTTTATTTTACTAGTAAAATAAAGTGCTATTTTATTGCCTACCTGGACTACCTGATAAGGTGAAACAGGTCCTGACAACCTACCAAAGTGAAACAGGTCCTGACAACCTGCCAAGGTGAAACAGGTATATCTACGCGAATTTTACCTTTTTCATTCAATTTTTTTATGTTTTAACAAAAACCAGTCAGAATCGTACATAAAATCATGTATATAACGCTTACATAAACAGGCTTTATTGACTCATTATTTAATAGCCTCGCTCGCAAGCTCGCTCGGCCATAAAATTATTCGTACAATAAAGCCTTACTTTATGTACTTGTTATATAAATAGCTATTATTAATTATAATTAAATAAATTAATGAATAAACAATATGTTTATCTTGGCAACTGTAAATTCTGGTTGGGAAATCTCCGGCATCAACTTCGGTTTTCTTTTGGGTGTCTACAAGAACCTAAAAAAAGAAAAAAAAAAAAAAAGAAAAGAAAAATGAGACAAATCACCGATTACTTTTGTGATATGAAAACTTACATGTATCTATCCCAAAACCAATTCAGATTCCGTTATTGTGAAGGTTCTCTTTGCTCACCCATTTTCAAATTTTTCTATTTTTCCATCAAAGTTAAATCCAACCCTGGTCTATTTTAAATTACGGCTGGCCTTGTCACCGTTCAGCGAATATTTTTGGGGGTTCTCCCACCGCCTTGAACTTGGTTCACTGTTGGAGCAGGAAGGCTTCGTTTTGGTACCAGTGGTCACGGAACCTTTGTCAAGAGCTTTGAAAACTCTAAAATCCGTCCGTATCGCCCTTTTGATTTTTATCAAGATTTGTAGAAGTTGGCGTAGACCACAAAATATTTTGTGAGCTCAGTAGATCCAGTTTCCAGATATATGGTTCTTGAGCGATTTTATGAGTTATTTGGGATGATTATTTCGCGTAAGTTGCACGTGCCTCGTGGTAAGAATTTAACATCTTCTAATGGTTTTTTATCTTTATAGATCCATTTTTGATTATCCAGTTTGCTTTCGATTGGCATTAAATTGCTGCTGATGTTCGCATTGGAATTTTCACTTCCTAATTTATTGGAGGGTCCAAATCAGAGTCCAAATCCAAGTCCAAATTCAGATAAGTTCAGAGTCAAGCCCAAGGGGAAAATGTCTCCAAATTTTTCTATGAAGATCCAACCCGTGCAAGTACCAACTAGTCCGAGTTGTAGTTCTGGTCCACTTTGCGCCCATTTGATCTCTACTCTTACCAGAAAATATCCAGCTTCGAATTCGTCCAGAGCCCAATAAGCCAGATTTGGGACTTCATGGATGCACAAAAAAAAACTAACAGATTTGCTAGAGATTAAGGCAGGTCAGTGAAAAACCAAATAAAAAAAAAATGCTTTGACTTTCAAACATTTTCTTATATTTTTTAGTTTTTGAAATAACGATTCATTTATCTATATTTAGGTATAATGTGAAGAGCCGATTTGGTAATTTTTTAGTTTATTTTTACTGGGTATATTATTCAGGTATTTTTGACTAAGACCCCAAAACCCCGAAGATTCATGAATTTTCCCCAGGTTTTCCGTGATATAATTACCTTTTTACAGTAATACAATTTGACCAAATAGTGCTATATATTTAACAATCATATTTGATATTAATATTTATCTTCAACTTAAGGCCGTTTTACAGCTTGCAATTCTATCTGCAATATGCAAGAAACTTGAACGAGGGCATGCGCAGAAGTGAGTCAGCTGATTGGTTTCTGCAAGATTCTTGAAACTTAAATGGCATTGCATGCAATCGGTTTGGTGCCATTTTTCTTGAAGGTTTTTGTGCAAGCTGGGGACTTTTCAGCAATTATGATGCTTAAAGCTTCTGCTATTCCTTTCTTATTTTTATATCGACTTATAGGGCATGTCCATGTGACGTCACAAATGAATTTGACAGTCGCCCTGAGGTAAAACAAATCATTTATTTACATTCGTTTAGATTAGGCCGGTTATGTTTTATGCGGTTTTCACAGCTTTTTCACAAGTTTTGGTGCTATTTTGTTTTAAAAAAGTTAGAGCGGAGTGTTTGTGTTCCAGTCTATGTGGTCTTTCATCTAAAAGTTTGCTAGGTTTTTCTATAATGGATTAAATTCAGGTTTTTTCCAACAAATATCAAAACCAAGTGTCACAAGAACAAATATATAAGTATAGTTACTCTATATTCATTCAATCTATTTTTCTGTCAGATCTTCTCTTTAAGAACATTAATCAATTTTTTTCTTCTCTCTTGAGCTAACAAATCAAACCTCCCATTGTTATTCGAAATTGATGGAAACCTATATGGAAGGATATTGTATCCCTTGCGCTATACTGCCATAATTACCAACTAAACAAACTCTAGGCATGTCCAAGAAACTTCTAGAGCACACAAAAGGTATTTATTTAAAAAAATCTAACTAAAAACTTGAAAAACACTGTAAATTATATCTTTGTTTTACCTTGGTTTTACCTCAAGGCGACTGTCAATAGTGTCAAAATGTCCCATTTCCCAATGCCACTGATGAATAGCTGCCGTGCTTATATGTTCAGTGGTTGTTTTCCGGAATCAGAAAAAAACAGGAAAATAATTGCTACAGTGTTCCATTGAAAAAGTTGAAGTTGCCTACGTTTCTCCATTTTCCGATGCGATTTTGTTTTTTCTGATACTGTCAAAAGAATATACCGGGTGACAACAAAATCATTATACAAGGCCTCATTCAGTTGTCTTTAAAGTTAAAAAAATGGAAATTGAGGAGAACGGGTAAGTCATTGAGACGCACATTGTTCGTAAAAAATTATTTGAATATCACTTCCGGTTACTCCGGAAATGGAACCAAATCAAGAAATTTTTATGGAACCCTATATATTTTTTTACACAGTTTGATAAAGCTTGAAATTCCCTTTTCAATGACATATCACAAGTTGCATTTGTTTCATGGTATTTTTCTTAAATTCAATATGGCGGCATTCTGACGTAACCGATAACGTTTCTGTTAAACAAACAGTTTTAACAATTCATAAATTTTGGATTTGGAAAGGTTTTAGATCGAATTTGGAAAAAAATTGTTTTGCTCAGAAACAAGGGCATTTTAAAATTTCTTTGAAATGCAAATTTTTGATTCAAATTTTTTAAAAATTTTGAATAGGAAGAGTTATTCATTAAATCCTAGAATTCAAGTGTGTCCAATGGCCTACCGAAAAATGTCTACTAAAATGCATATTCATTTGTCGGTTACGTCAGAATGCCACCATATTGAATTTAAAATTTAAGAAAGTACCTTTTTACGCCGCTATCTTTAAAACAAATGGAACTTGTGATATGTCATTGAAAAGGGAATTTCAAGCTCTATCCAACTGTGTAAGAAAAAATATAGGGTTCCATAAAAATTTCTCGACTTGGTTCCATTTCCGGAGTAACCGGAAGTGATATTCAATTGTTTTTTACGAAAAATGTACGTCTCAATGACTTACCCATTCCACCCAATTTTCAAATTTTTAACTTTAAAGACAACTGAATGACGCCTTGTATAACGATTTCGGGTATAGAAAAAAACTGTCAAGTTTTGTATTTAAAATTTTTTTCTATCTTAAATAGTAAAGGCTGTAGGTATGGTGCCAAATATAATCAAATACCCTGTACATGGCCTACGATGTCTGTCCGTCATATGGCGGTGGCTTAACTTTATTAAAAGATGCAGGCGAGGCTGAGACATTCACTGATCTTATGAATGTGGCCGGCCCCCCCCCCCCCCCCCCCCCAGCCCCCCAGTGCAAATTGCAATGTGCAGAAGTTATTCAGTATATCAAAGCCATTAAATTAGCATAAGCAATATAACAGATTATTTGGGAGTTTGACTAAATATTTTTCCTGTGAATCCGTGATCGGTGTTGCTGATATGACTTTATAGTGGCTGATAAGCTGGGTTAGCTAGGTAAGTGATTTAAGTCCGGTTTAGTCAGCTAATCGCCTATAATTGCACTGTTCTACTTTTTTAAAGATTCCAATAAGTCGCAATAACAGGCCCTAGGCCACTGGCCCCAACTACAAGAGGGCATTGGAGCAGGTGTTCCCATAAGCAACCTCTCATGGGTGCTCGGAGCTCTCGTAGAGAATACGAAAGTACAAACGTATTTAATGGTCATTCCGTTCCGTGTGGTAGTATCAGTATCATGTATGTAATTTAAATTTACACAACTTTGTTATACAAGTGGTATTAGTGTTAGATTAGGGAGGTATTAGTATTCTGTCCTTCCGTTATTTGTAGTCAATTCTATGCTCTATTACTTTATATTGCTAACGTTGCTATTCTCCATCTCTATTCTTTGATAATAATCGGGACATAAGGCATTTTAGGACATAAAAGTACCAGGCATAATTATTTTGATAATGATGTGATATTTTTATGGCCTAAAATGCGTGCAGAAAAAAGCACTTTTCGCACGCTCGTAGAAAAAAAATAGAAAAATATATACAGGGTGTCCCGAGGGGTGTCCCAAATTCGAGGGGGACCATTGAGATATCGGAAACTATAAGAGATACGAGGTCGGTTAAATTATGGCAAAGTTGCGCAATTTTATGACCAATAAAATGCAGTTTTGAAATTTGAAAAATTCTGAATACTTCCGAAGATATTCGGAAAAAACCGAATTTTTGCAAAATCATTTTTATTTCCTAGTCTATTTGAAGAGCAATTTCAAAATAAATGGCACTTCATCGTTGTCATTTTTTCCTCTTTACAAGATGTTGCTACCAAATTTCAGATTTGACGTTTCGCCTTTGGACGGCCATCATCAACTTTATTTTTTCGAATACGATCCTGGATTTTTTATTTCAGATTTTAGAGGCTTTTGATGTCCCAAAACCTATGACGTATGGCATTTATTCGAAAAACAATTTTTTTTTTTTTTTTTATAGTAATTTCCTACCAAAATTGCCTTCTCTGTCTCCCTCTAACACAACACATTTAGTTCTTATGGAAAGTGCCAATAATATAAATTTTTCGAAAAAATGCGATACGTCATGGGATTTGGAATATCAGAAGCTCTTAAAATCTGAAATAAAAAATCCAGGTCCATATTTGAAAAAAAAAAGTTGATGATGGCCGCCCAAAGACAAAACGTCAAATCTGAAATTTGGTAACAGCATCTTGTTAAGGGCAAAAAGGGACAATGATGAAGTGACGTTTATTTTAAAGTTACTCTTCAAATAGACTCGGGAAAAAATAAAAATGATTTTGCAAAATTTCGGTTTTTTTCGAATATCTTCGAAAGTATTCGGAATTTTTCAAATTTCAAAACGGCATTTTATTGGTTATAAAATTGCGCAACTTTGCCATAATTTAACCGACCTCGGATAGTATAGTTTCTGATATATCAATGGTCACCCTCGAATTTGGGACACCCTGTATACTATAAAATAGACCTTTTTAGGCGTGGCATCCGGAAAAAAAAGTTTCCCCCTCCCCCTATAAAAAAATTTATAAAAATATTATCCTGCACCTATGAGGACTTTCAAAAATCGGTGCCTCTGCCAGGCCCACCCTAGGCCCCCCCAGGTCAGATGGCTAGTTACGCCAATGCAAATAGTAACAAATGCCTCCAAATGTAGCTTTAGATATTTCTTTTAAAAAAAAATAATGCGCAAATTTTTCCATTGAAATTAAATCGGTCAAAAGGCAAACTTTTAACATTAGAGCCGCTTTTCAGCCGACCATTTTAAGCAAGTAACAGAGCTTTTACGCGCGCTAATGCTTCAAGCGTGAGTTCATGTTCCAGCCGTAGGTACTGCGCTTCGAGTGCTGCTAACTTTTGGGTTTAAAACACTGTGCTGCACCGTGCTTGAAGCACAAACACAATGTCAGCTGGAAAGCGGCTTAGAATGCAGCTTGCAAGAAGCCACGTGTTGCACTAAAGTGTTTTACCACCATAATCTTACCTCGTATGGACGTTTCATCAGATTATTCTCATTTTCCGATCCGGAATCGCGTTCTTCACTGCTACTATGTTCGCGATAGCCTCGACTAGAGCTCGGGTACATAGGATAGGTTTGATCCATGTCGGGCTCCATATTTTCACGATCTTCCTCTTGGTACTCTGGCACAGGCTCTTCATTTTCGTTGGTGTAATTCATTTCCTCACAACTCTAGAAGTGGCCAAACACTAAATGAAACTCTTTGGTAAAAATGATGATTGTTAATAAAGTGGTTGCGCTGACAACCGGAGACAGATGAAGTTGAAATTGAAATTGTCCAATGCCAACTGATTGGCATTGATGGACTTTTTCGATTTTTAACAATTTGCAAATTGTCAAGGTAACAGGTATTTTCCGGTCCAAACGTCAAACTTGGGGTTGTCACTGTCTGGGAAATTTGAATTTGTAAAAAAAAATTCACAAAAAAATTTATTATTTATAAATAATTAAACGAATGAATTAATATTGTATGGCAGCTAAAATTTTTAAAAATAATCAGTGAATGAAATTTTTAATAAGCGGTTTTTACATTAATAGTGTACTTGTGACAACTTAGCAATAGCACAAGTGCAAGTCGATCACAATCAGCACTGTAAGAATTAGGCAATCCAACGACCTGTCCAAATAGCGCCTGGTTGGCAAAAAATGAACAAAAAACATGTTTTTTTTTTGCGGGATTATCATTGCGAGTTCTCAAATCTGACACTTTTTTGACATCATTGACATGTAACAACCCGTATTCTAACCTCATAAAAATTTCAAAATGTCGGTTGATTGGCAAAAATCACGTGGTTTGGATTCCCTAATTATTTCAAAAACAGGTTTGCCAATTTGTAAGAAATTACTCAGATTTGTGAAGAAAAAATAAGTCCAATTTCGGAATCGGTAGATTGTATTTACGAAAAACTCTATTTAATTTAGGAAAAAATAAGTTCAATTTCGGAATAAGAAACTTGGATGAATTAACAATAATATTATTACAGTTTATTTTTAGATAGATAGATTTTGACATTGTCAACTTTGAAACATAAACAATGGGTACATTCAGGCGGTCCCAGCGGCTAAGCTCAGCCACTCAGCAGGGACTTCATTCTCGAAACAAAGGAACAGCGTTCTCATAAGAACGATTGCTCTGTCATTGTCAGTGTTATGCCGGACGACAAAGACAGAAACTTCGTTCCAATTAATGAGAGTGCTGCTCCCCTGTTTCGAGAATAAAGTTCCTGCTGAGTAGTTGAACTAAGCCGCTGGGACCGCCTGAATGTATCCAATGCCGCTAATGCCGCTTATTGGTCGCAAGATGCCATTTGCACGACATGCATTGTAAAAGTGATGTCAACCTGCAGGGACACCTCATTTTGCGACCAATCTTGGGAAAAAATAAGCCATAGATATCAAATAAATGAAAGGTACAGATGTGAATAAGGACATTTTCGCCAAATTTTTTGATTCTATTCAAAAATACAATCTTTATGAATTTTTAAATATGATGCTGCCGTCTCCTGTCATAAGCCTAGTACACATAACTGCGAAATTCGCACTTTTTTGACATTGCTTCGACAATTTGACGCTTGATTCACACATAAAACGTCAATTTGTCGAAGCAATGTCAAAAAAATGCGAATTTCGCAGTTATGAGTACTAGGCTTTAGCCATAACTGCGAAATTCGCACTTTTTTGACATTGATTTGACAATTTGACGTTTTATGCCTCATTCTCACTTGCGCGAAATTCGCTCTTTTTTCGACATTGCTTCGACAATTTGACGTTTTATGCGTGTATCAAACGTCAAATTGTCGAAGCAATGTAAAAAAAGCGAATTTCGCGCAAGTGTGAATTAAGCTTTATGCGTGAATCAAACGTCAAATTGTCGAAGCAATGTCAAAAAAGAGCAAATTTCGCTGTTATGAGTAGGAGTAGCCGGAGCCTCATGCATCCGTTTTCCGACGTCCGATGTTCGAAAAACCTTTTTTCTACTGACGTTTCATAATAGCAACTTTTCGATTGTCATTTTAGTTTTAAAACGACATTCATCTTTTAGGCACTGAGTGCGTAAAAGTTACTTTTAAGCACTCAGTGCGTAAAAGTGACTTTTGAGTGCGTGAAAGTGACTTTTGAGTACGTAAAAGTAATTTTTAAGCACTAGTGCCTAAAAGTGTCATTCATTATTCAGAAATAAAAAAACACACTAAACACAGATTTGAATTTTGTTTTGTATTTATTATGAATATTAAAAATGTAATTATTGAATTGAACGTCTGATGGGTTACTCAAAACAGAACTTTGTACCCAGCAAACACCGACCGCCGGTAAACCGTCGGCCACATGTAGGAAGAGTCGGCAAATAGCTGGTTACGGCGTACGAGGGCAGGCCCAGTTACCATTATTAGATGTTGAGTCAAAGCGCGTATTAGGATATGCGGTACTGTGCTGAAAAATAGTATGCATTTATGCAGTACGGTAAATTAGAATAGGACCGGTCGAGGGTAGTCGAGATCGCCCCACAAGGCAATAATCGTTGAACGATAATGCACCGGCAAGTAGCTTAAAGTTACGCTTTATTTTCAGTTTAGTTGGCCCGACTTCTAAAAGACATGCCGTCGAACTGCGGCTCAACGATTGGCTAGGCGGACATATAAGGTCCGGGCCGATGGTTTTTGACTCCCAAGGCCCAACGCTCCACTTCCGGCAAAAATGCTTTGGCCCGACAGGGGTCCGAAGGACATGTGTTTGCTGGGTGTTGTTACCTACTTTCTGGGATGTTAGTTATTGATATCGAATCTTGAAAAAAAAATCGCATGAAAAGTGTCACGTGTCAAGCAAAAGCAGGTAACAAAGATTTTGGGCGTAATCGATTTATTCACATGAAATAAAATTCTGTTTTTTTATTATAAAATGCCAGTAGAAAAAACCTTGTATACAATACGTTACGAAACGATGTCTTTTAGTCACTCGACGTGTTGTCCAACTCGGCTTTGCCTCGTTGGACAATTTTCACGTCGCGTGCCTAAAAGACACTTATTTCGTAACTTATTGTATAAATAGCTATTATTCCGACATATTTTTATACGATTATGTCAGAAATCAGAATAGAAGGTTTTTCGGACATCGGACTCATCGGACGTCGGAAAATGGATTCATGAGACTCCTGTAACTTTGTTAATTTTGAAGATTGTCAGGTTCCCTATTGGCAAATTATACTTATTTGGGAAAAAGTTTATTCAATTTAGGGAAATCAATCTCATTTTCGGAATTGGGAAGTGTCGATCGATGACAACAAGGTGGTAAACGGCATTTTAAATTGGACAATTAAGTAATTGAAGAAGTAATCAGTTGGTTAGAAGCAAATGCACAGTCCCTACAGACCCAAGATTGTTTGAGGGAGGTAGGTTGCCTAAATAACGTTATGACGTCATCTGGGGTGCCTCAAAATAATTCAGATCTCCATTAGGCCCCCCATCAAGTTTCCCATTACCAGGGCTGAAACTCTGTAACGGATAGAGATCGTTAGTCCTATCGCTATGGCACTTGCTGTGTTCTTCTCTCTTGTATTGAAATCAATAGAGAGGAGACGTCAATAGAGATAGAGAAAATATCTCTATTCGTTACAGAGTCGCCAGCGCAAGGAAACCTATTAACTTTGGGAATCTTGCTACAGACCTAGATCTAATAACCTTTGTCCAATGGTGCTTGATTGATTGATTTGTGAAGAGACTGAAGGGAGCCTTTACAGGCATCATGTAGGCGCGCATCTGACCCACTGTGCTATGCCCCTCTTGGTGCAGCCCTCTTACCTTAGAGACCCGCAACTTTCAAGAAATATGCAGACCTCGCCCTTTAGAAAACTCGCCTCCGGCTCGTTTTCTAATATAGGGCTCGTGCGATAAAATGACGTCTTATGAAACTTGTATTTTAATGTACTATTTCATCATAAATGTATATTCTAAATATTGAGGTAGAATAATAGGCCTGTTCGCAGAGCAATCACAAACCAGTCAAAACGAATTTCATTGGTTGAAAACAATCAGAAACAGTCAGAAAACTAGTTTCAACCAATGAGATTCACTCTGACTGGTTTGTGATTTCTCTGCGAACAGACCTAATATAAGAAGAAGCTGTCATCATTTGAATAGTGCAGTAGAAAACGGCATCGGTAGGCGTGGCTAACTGTCGGAACAATATGGCTACTTAAACAGAGCCGAACTGAATGGATTCTTTATAATTTTTATCTGAAAACGTAAAAAAATCGAAATCACACCAAGAAAGAAAAAGTTGCTACAGAAACTTCAACATACTACTGAAACAAGAGATCCTTCCAAGACCCAAAATAGGAATTCTGAGCTTCAAAAATTTTCCGTATTTAAAAAATCTTCGGATGGAAAATGTGGCCCTGATGCGATTTTGACACGTTGCTATGACAAAAGTGACAGAGTTTCAGATAGAAGTGTCGTAACAATATGGCGGAAGTGGATACACTTTTTTCTCCTTATGTCGCCCCCTTATTATTCTACTTCAATGATTCTAAACTACGACCGCTGGCGCAAACAGGTGACGACGTAGTTGATACTGTTATCAATGGTGCTACACAATGTGGCCGCGATTCCCAAAAACGTGGCCGATAAGCAATCCTGTGAAGTAGTGTGCATTATCCTTGGTATCTGACCACCCAGTAGTTGTATTCCTTTCACACCTAGGAGGAGCTCCGGAACAGCTCCGGGGCTTCACGCGCTTATTCCTTTCGAAAAATGTTTGTTGCATCACGCAAATCGGGGGCGACTAAACAGCTCAAGTGTTTCAAACTCTTGAAAGGAATACAACTAGTGCTCCGTCAGGACGCCTGTGATAGCTCTTAGTTGGCAAATGTTTTATTGTCACATTCAAGAGGAGAAGAATTGGAACAATAGGAAGAATTCGCCGGAATCGTGTTTTGCCGCTTGGCACCATACAGTCCAATTTGAACCACCATTGAACATGATGTGGAATTCATTCAAAAAGGCCTATTCGAGTATGGAACAAGGATGGTTCTAGAACGGTTCAAAACAATCGGACAGTTTATCAATCAACAATGACAACAACTCGGTTATCACAAATTTCAATAATAAACTGTGCGATTGTTTTGAACCGTTTTAGAACCGTCCTTTTTCCAAACCCGAATAGGCCCCAAGACATCCATCAAAGAGCAAGATACAGCCAACGTAATGTTAAATTAGTACACACTAGTTATGGGGAATTGAAATGTAAAAATAGACCAAGATAACGCCGATGTTACATTGGCAAATTCGGTCAATTCGGACAAGGTACAGTAAATGAAAGAGATAACATGCTTATCAACTTCTTAGAAAGAGATGAACACATTCTTCAAAAAGAGATCTAATAAAAATGAACATGGGCAAGACCAAGAGCAAGCCTAGATGGAAAGACAAAAAACCAAATGGACTTTATACTGACACAATCATAAAAAACACATAATCCAAGATGTCGACGTCTTGCTCGTTCACGACTGCACAGACGACTGGCAGCGATTCAGTGGCGGCGATATGCATAAGCGGATATAAGCGATGCTTAGGGGCAAGGGCATAAAGTAGAAATATGTTTTTTTTTTTTAAATGCTACAAAATAAAATTGAGAAATATTTATAATGACCCATATCGATTATGATATACTTAACTGGTACATTTCTTCCAGTTGCCAAATTGGTATTGTCCATCGTTTTCTATCTGACACTGTCCGTATGAGGAGCGAGCTCAAAGCTTATGGCAAAAATAGGTGTGACCATTGGCGTTTTAATGTAGGGAGCCACCAGCTCACATTTTTTTGGAGTATCAGAATAAAATCGATAGACATTACATTCCTTCCAGTTGCCACTGCTGAAAGGTCATTTAGTGAATTAAAAATATTGAAAAGACATTTGAAATACCATAAGTCAGCAGAGCAGAGACTGATGATGGATTAATGATCTTTCAGTTTTGTCTATCGAACATAGCACAGCATCCAATATGGATATTCGGTGTTTAGTTAAACAATTTGCCATTAGTAAAACCAGAAGGAGAGACTTTTAAGTAGTAAGTAAAGGTAATTTAAAGGATTAAAAGGCGAACTTTTTGGACATTTTTGTAAATCCTCCGCTTTTTGCTTGGGTAATATTATACGATTTAGGGTGAGACTGGTAAGAGCTTCTTCTTCAGGTGGGTTTATACAGCCACATAAACATAACATAAGAAATAACATAACATAAGATAAAAAGTTGACCATATGGAAACCCCTTATGGCGTTTATACAGAAAATAACATAACATAACATAACATAAGAAATAAGAAAGTTGGTTAACTTTTAACTTTTATGTCTTATTTTATGTGAAAACGGATCTGCGCATGCTCCTCCCTTGATTTCGGCATGGCAGAGAAGTAAACAAAACATTCCAACCAAAAAAAAAATATATTTTGATTCTGTTTTCAGCTATTGGTAATTTTTTGGAATTCGATATTTATTTTCTGTTTCTGCTAAATTATTAATTAATAATTTTTTTTAATCAAATATAGTGTTTTCGGTAGAGTTTATATAAGTACACGTACCTACCAGCTGATTGGTTAGAAATTATTTCTTATATTATGTTATTTTCTGTATAAACGCCACAAAATTCTTATTTCTTATATTATGTTATGTCTTATTTTATCTTATTTCTTATATTATGTTATGTGCTGTATAAACCCACCTTTCTTCTTCTTATCTGGACTACTGTCTTACATTTCTGTTTTATAATAGAGAAAATTGAGTTTGATGTATTTCTACCAAATAAATAATTTTTATTGCTTTGGAATTATTTTATTTTATTTTTCGGTTCAAAGATTTATTTAACGACAAATTATCGAGTAAAAAAAATCTTATGTTTTTCATTACAAGGGTAGCTTCAGATACTTCAGATAAAAAATGCAATGATATGTTAGAAAGTACTAATACGGATCCAGAACTTGTTGCAGTAAAATATAGTGTCGTATCTAGGATAATAGGGCATCTCCCTTCGGTAAATTAAACTCACTCGTCTCCCAAAAAAGTTCATGGGTTACAGGAAAACCATCGGTCATGTTACATGTAAGTAACATTGCAAGTTGAACGAATTATTAAACTATTAATTTGTACGGACATGGAACTGAAACCCATAGAAGGTCAATGCCGATGCCAGGTCATCGGCAGTTATTGTAATTAGAAATCACGTATGATGGTTGCGAGACTAGCATAAAATAAAGTGGTTTTAGAAGATAGGATCAGTCTACAGATGGAGAATTATCCACGTTAGTTAGTCAGTAGTAATAGTGCCTTTTAGTCTGGTGGTAATTATTAGTGCCCATGCCCATATCTGAAATGTAATTGTGGTAAGCTTTATTGTAAATACACTTTCCTATTTTTGTACTTGGCTCTAGTTTTGATTCACACCCCCTCATAACCCCCAGGTCCGACAATAGTTTGAGAAATGTTTGGCCTAGTTGTTTGTGACTATTATCCAAAATTTATTGAATTGATACCATTACCGAGGAAAAATGCAACAGCTGAAGCTTTATCGCTAAAAGTCATGGTTTACCAAATGACAATAATATGTCAGATAATGGTCCACCTTTTGATGGCAAAGATTTTCTACACTACAGTTTTTATGTCAGTACGATATTACTGATATAACATCTAGTCCAAAATAGTCAGTCTAATGAAATAATTGACAGGCATATTGAAACAATAAAAAGTATGATGGTTAAATGTCTAGAAAAACATCCTTATATTATTGTTATGGGACACTCAAACCAAAACTTTCTTCATTCTTCAATCTTCATCTGGATAATGCTAACGGGGAGAAAGTTAAAGGGGGTGTGACCCAAAAATGAATGTTTTAGTGCAAAAAAATCTAAGAATAACTATTTAAACCGCATCTCGCTACGATGGTCTGTTTTCGAGTTAGGGCAATTTGAAGTTATCTACAACTAGGTGTTTGTAACGTCACACTGGATTATCAGGGATAGTATTAACACGTGTAAGAATGTTCCCAAAACAAAAGACAATTAATTATCTCCTAGAGAGAATTGCAACCACTCAAAGTATAGGATACGGTTCACTGATGACGACTGAACGAACAGAAGACTACGATTTCGGCGGTTGTGACATCACAAGTTCCTGCACAATTTATCTTCACACGGAATTTTCTCGGAAACTATTTTGGATATAGGACTGCGGTTTTCACGAGAGATCTTAGAATTTTTTTCTTGATTTAAGTAGCTTTAGTCGTTTTTTAGGGTCACACCCCCTTTAAGAACCGACTTATTTTGCTCAAGGATTAAAACCATTTTGATACTCAACAACACATTGAAACGTTACATGTAAATCAAGAAAGAGATCAGCACTAATACAATACAAACAAAAAACCATTACTTTCATTATGTTAGGGACCAGTAGTGATTCACCAGTTTGTTAGGAAGTGAGTCCCTTATAAGATTCTTAATAAAAACAAAAATCCCAGAAGTTACCCGTATCTCTACTGAATTCCAATATTGCCAAAAAGCTCAATGCTAAGCCACTTTTAAGGGCAGTTATTCTGCGCAAAGTGACTGGAGATACCGCAAATGTGCATGGAGAAACAGAAATCGACCGATTAAGTAATATCACGATCGGCATAGAGGTTGAGTTTATTTTGGGTATGGACTTAATTAGTCAACATGGGTTTTGTATTCGACAACTAGCTCAACATCCTGAAATTTGGCACTGAAGAATTTGTACCAAAATTTGTCCAAAGTCCGTTTCCATAAAAGCTAAACGAACTGAGAAGATGAAAGGCAACACCGAACAAATTATAATATGTGGACAGTTGGAGAATGATTGTGGAAGCTGCGTTGGACTTGTACATCCACACCAAACTAACAATAAATACCTCGTCAGAGAAACTTTGGTAAACTCACAAGAAACTATACCTCTACCACAACACTATTTAAATCAATAAGGACAATAAGGGCGATGTCATAGCCACCTATGAGCCTGTCAAAGGTATTTCAAAGTGTGAAGTTGAAGAACGTCAAAGAAATAAAGGAAATAAATAAGCGAGTAGCGATATATTTTAAAGACAATTCGAAACATTTTGACAAATTTTTTTCTCTACAGAACTAAGGAAGACTCAACAGTTCTCTTGTAAGAAAAATTATATCTTTGAAGGCAAAAATGGCGATACTGCTAAGACGAACATCATTCAAGCATGAAATCAATACTGGCAGTGCTAGAGTGCTCATCCGATTCGATCACGATAATAAATGATCACACTAGGACGGTCTGATTTAGGAGGGAGGCAGTGTTACGAAAATGCATAGACAAACTGGCGCCAAAATTCCAAGAAATTAGGTAGGTACTTGTTTACGTCGGGCAGCGCGTCTTTTCCTGGAGTTCTATATTATATTTGATTCGATTGTTTTCTAGCTGAATCTCGAATGCGATTACGACTATAAATAGCGCGTAGTGATAAGTCAGTTTAATTGAAGTTGTTATTGTTTGTGAAGTGAGTTTTACTGAACCCGGAATCCGTGACAATACTATGTTTTTGGATTTTGGTGTCTTTTATAATATGGTACCTAAAAATGTTTTTCTTCGTTTTACCAATGATGTTTTAGTTTTACACGTGGGTGCAACGGAACTAATTATTCAATAAGATCAAAATTTCATAATATCCTGAAAATAACCGTTGAAGGTAACTACAGCGCTAAGGCCTTGCAATGACCTTTCATAAACACGACTTAGACTAGGTCACTAGAAAATCTGTTGTCACTAAATTTTAATTTACGAGGTTAATCATAAAAATACATGTGAAGCTTTAAATTCCGGCATTATATCTTCCTTCTTCACATAGTTCATATATCAATTAAATAATCTATGATTAAATTATTAAAAGATAAGTGTTTCTGTCAAACACATAGTAATCATATAATTATTAATTATTTGGTAATTTGATTTTTCACTAATTAGAGCTTTTTAAGTTCTCCTTGTATCGGAATAGGTGAGCGGCAGTTGACCCAGAAATTTGCCCATAACAATAAATATAAGCTCAAGACTTTTTTTTAATCGTTCTTATTTATCCTAATCAATCATTTCGTGTTAATAGGTGTAAAAAAGTTGATCGCTCCAAATGAACATGAATACAACATCGGTTTCTATGCTTGTGCTTGTTTTAACGTGTAAGTGATCAATCATCAATTTAAAAACTTATATTTAAATGTTTTCCAATAGCTATTTGCGTAGAATCTAGTCATAGAATCATACCAGGGGCTTTACCGTATGACGGATATCATGATTTGCATTTGCCTCATAATCCACCTTTGTACCCTACTTATGCAAAAGTGCCCAACACTAATTTCCGTTGCGATGGGCGGGAGTATGGATATTATGCTGATGTTCAAGCTAGTTGTCAGGTGAGTAGGTACCAAATAACTGATTTAATTTGTAGATATCATTTTAAGCTTAAACCTCAGCGTTGTTTATATACCTTCTTTTTTTTCAATGCAAAAAAAAGGAGAAAAAGGCATTGAAATTGGAACGCTTCTGAGTCACAAGGGCTTCCATTAGATCTTCATATTTATAAATTTCAGAGAAAGAGCTCAATACCTCTTCTACAGCCAAACAAGTTTCACAATGAGCGGCTGTAATGTGTGACGAGGTTCCTCTATTTGTTTTGCGTAGTCTCTGGTCAACAAGATCTTGAAAAAAAAACTTTTTCCAGGCTTACCATTTGTGCAACGATAGACTGATAGCGTCTTACCTATGTACCAATGGAACCTTATTCAATGAGCAGTTTCAAGTTTGCGATCAGTTTTATAACGTAAGATGCGGATCTCACTATATAGATTTGTAATTAATTTATTATAAAAACTGTGATTTTATTTATTTGTTTTGTAATACATATGATTGTTTTGAAAATAATATATAGATTTTTGTTTTGAAATCCTGAAATTATTATTATATCATATTTTTATAGTGAAAATATCGAGTACCTAAGTATACACATGTAATCATAATTCATTAGGTAGGTATTACAAAATTATTTTGGAGTGACGTGAAACAAAGACCTTCAAAAGTGCAACTTTTTATATAAGATCTTAAAAAATAATTGTCCCAATAAATGTGGGTGTATTTGAGTTAATGAAGGTTTCATTTAGTTAAACTAGGACTATTTAGTAGGAGTGTTAGATGAAGGTTTTTCCTATTTATTTTCAGATAGCTATGAGATATAAAGCCCATAAATTTGATTGTTTTTTGTCGTTTATGCAACTTCTGTTTTTAAAAAGTTTTATTTCGATTAAACATGAAATTACCCTAGATGTTCCTACAACAAAGCTGACTTAAAGACTAAATTCTATAATGCTGTCCTGGTCTGCTTTTTGATCTTCTCTCATTTGTTTAGTAGTCCATTTATCATCCACGATAAGACCCGTTCTGGCCGTTCTTCTCACAGCCGGATTGGTGTTTTTCTCATGCATATCGATTCTTTGACAGTGCTTGCAATCTTCTTCACATGGCCTTCTAGACAAAGCGTCAGCATTTTAATGCAGATTTCCGGGTCGGTGTTTAATTTGGAAATCGATTGCTGCAATTTCTCAATCTATCTAGCACGCTGTGTTTCTAAAAGGCGTGATCTATTCGATTTAAAAACTTACGTCCATAGGGATACTTATGAAAATGGTCGACTGCTTTTACTATGGCAAGCAACTCTCTTCTGGTAATACAATAATTTTGTTCCGGCTTTCATAAGGTTCTGCTGTAGAAGTAATCTACGACATGCTCTTGTGAATTTTGGAGTTGTGAAAATACAGCTCCAATACTGGTGTTGCTTGCATCTGTATTCAAAATCAACATGCCTTTCTGATCGGGATAGGACAACACTGGGCTTGTACGTAATGCTCCTTTCACTTTCAATTTTCTAAAAGCGGAATCGCATTCTTGGGTTTAATCGAATATTGATTTTTCTTCCGTTTATCGATGAAGCGGAGCAACTCTATATTATAAATCCTACAAATCGTCGATAATAAGAACATAATCCTAGGAAACTCCTTAGTTCATGTTTTTCTCGTGATTTTGGCCAATCCCTGACAGCATCTATCTTTCCTTCCATAACTTTTATGCCATCTTCAGATACCTACCACGTGACCTAAGAATTCTACTTTCTTTTGAAATACAAAAAACTTATTTGGATTGAATTTCAAGTTAGATTTCTGGAAGCGGTCAAAAACTTTCAGGTTATTGAGATGTTCTTGGAACGAATTTCCCATGATCCAGGTCTCGCGAAACAAGATGCATCATTCGCTCAAACGTACCTGGAGCATTACACAATCCGAAAGGGATCACCTGATCACCTTCCATGCCTCTATCTTGAGATCGGCATTTCGAGTCCTTTGAGGAGTTTCTCAGCTTCTTGTCCTTCGCTCCTAGGCAAAAAGACGGTTATGGTGTGTGCTTTCGGGATGTTTCTTTTCGTGCACACAGTTAACCTCGGCCCCTTCCATTCTTTCATCCGGATTCCGGGGTACAGTTTCCTTCAGCCAGCTGAATTTCTGCTCGTTTTCGCAGTCTACCATTATCAGTCCTGACCTGAAATGGATTTCTGCGAATTTCAGGTTCACCACTGTACTGGTAAACATTTCTTCCACACTAGAGCACTTTGTAGGCCTGTCAGTTGTCATAATGAACGGTGTGAGGTAAGGTGAGGTGAGGTGAGGTGTAAATGTTACTAACTTACCGAATAATGTTGTCAGATCTTTTACTTTCTCCCTAATATCCTTGTGGCATCGAACATTTTTTTTTAGTCATCTTTTTAACAAAATATCGAGTAAACTCGATATATGCAATTCGGTTTCCTCGGGCCTCGGTTGCCTGTGCGTAACTCCGGCCCTTGTTTGTTTATCAACTACCTACCTCATATCGCATATCGAGGGAATTCAGCAGTTTTAATTATTTGCGATAAGAGAATGAGTAAATATATTGCAGTGTACAGTGCATCTGTTTGCTGTTTCAAAAGGCGAAAGTATTAAATTATTGGACACATTTCTGAGATTAAAATGCCGTATGCCGTACGCCGTGGAAATTGATTTGGGCACAACGTTTTCTAGTGTGGCTGTAGTTAAAACTGGAAAGTCGACATTCGAAAATCGAAGTGATCGGAAACAGTCAATATGGTCATAATTTAACACCCTCGATAGTGTTTTTTGACCCTTATAATAGTGAAGTGTCAGTAGGCAAGTATGCCGATCAATGGGGAATTGTGGAGAGAACAAATCTGATTTATGGTAGGTGTATAAATAATTATAGCATGATGTGAATAAATATTTTTTAAGCTATAAAATAGATTGCAAAGAAACTGGTGCAGACGTTAACATTTTACCAATTGAAACTCCAAGAAAGCTGCAAGTGGACATTAAGAAGACCAATATCAACTTAAAAAGCTACAATGGCTCTAAAGTAAATGTAGTTGGTAAAGTTACTGTTCCATGTACTGTTAATATTCATACTTTTGAAAAAGTATTTGAGGTGGTTAATTATAGGCCTCCTTGTATATAATAGGACTGCCAGTGCCATTTATTGAGAAATTTAGACTTTTGAGAAAGGTAAACCACGTTCAAAATTGTCAACAAGAAGATCTACTGAAAAAATTCAAGAATTTATTCGAAGGAATTGGAGAAATGGGAGAATCATATAAAATTAAAATCAAAGATAAATCCATTCCTGTTGCTGAGCCCCCTAGAAAAATACCAATTAGTTTGCAAAGTGAGGTCAAGAAGGAAATAGATCGAATGGTGGAGTGCAAAATTATCAGAATAGTTACTGAGCCCACTAAGTGAAGAAACCAGATGGGAGCCTTCGCTTATTCTTGGACCCACAGAAGCTAAATAAGCCATTGTACGAGAACGATATCAACTTACATAAAAAAAAGCACCAGTACTCAAATATGATGTGACTAAAGATATTGTTCTTTCCGTAGATAGTAGCAGCCAGGGATTGGGAGCAGTGCTCTTGCAAGATAACTTGCCAGTTGCATATATGCCTCAAAATCCTTGACTGATACTCAGAAACAATGGGCGCAAATTGAAAAGGAGCTGTTGGCAATAGTTCATGGTTGTGAAAGATTCCACCAATATGTGTATGGTAAAAAAATACTTGTGGAATCAGATCACAAACCTTTAGAAATGATTTTAAAAAAACCACTTTCAGATACGCCTTTACGATTGCAAAGACTACGGTTGAGATTATAGCCTTATGATTTGGATGTTAAATATAAACCAGGCAAAGATTTACTTCTGGCAGATACCCTCTCAAGATCATTCTCAAAGGAGAATTCTCAGGACAATGCTAGTCTTGGAAATGTTGATGATGAAGTGAAAGTTCATGTATGTATGATGATAGATAGTCTTTCTGTTTCTATTTCTAAAATAGAGTTATTTAAATCAGAGACCAGCATTGACCCTGAGTTGGTACATATGTTCAAGACAAATTGCCAGATTATGACAAAATTCCAGACAATTTAAAGTTTTACCATTCAGTTAAAAATTCTCTGTTTGTAGTGAATGGTATATTATTTAAAGATTTTTGTATTGTTGTTCCAAAGTCCTTACGAAAGAAAATGTTAGGTTTAATTCACATGAATCATTTAGGTATTGAAAAATGCAAGGCTAAGGGCTAAAAAGATACTATTTTGGCCACACATGGGCAAAGAAATTGCTGATTTAATTAAAAATTGTAGTATCTGTTTGAAATTTCAAAAAACCCATGGGTTTGAAAATTTATTATTGAGAGATTGCCCAGAAAAACCTTGGGAGATAGTGGGAGTGGATAGGTATTTTTTATTTTGATAATAAGTCATTTTTACTCATGGTTGATTATTTCAGCAAGTTTATTGAACTCAAAAAATTGAAATATGAAACGTCTGAGTGTGTTATTTTAGCCCTAGAGTCCAATTTTGCACGCTATGGAAAACCTTGTTGTTTATTTTCGGACAATGGTCTCCCATTTGCAAATTATAAATTTGAACAGTTTTCCAGAGATTGGAGGTTTGAACACAAAACGTCTAGTCCTTGCAAGGTCAAATGGGATGGTTGAAAGGTACCGTCATTTGGGGTGAAGTCGGACTGTGGGGGTGAACTCGGACAGACAGGTATTGGCCGGCGTTTTTTACGATATCGGGTATCGAGACACCCAAAAAATCCACCAATCAACATATTCCGCTTAGTTTAGCTCCAGTGGCGTTGAGAGTGGTGCATTTTTGCTGGAAAAATTCGGCGTAGAGCACGTGGTCAGAATTTTATACATTTTATTGTTTTCTTAGAATTTGAAAACCAAAAAAGAAACTGTTGGCCACTAGGGAATATTGAAACTATGTACTTCAAATGAGCTATTATTTGTTATGTGCTCTATCATTAGTAAACCTGCACCCCGTACTAGGGGCTAAGACACTTTGTTATGCTTAATTAATGGTCGTCCGCCTTTACCCCACACATAGGGGTGATGGCGGACACACAACTTACCTAAAAAAAAAGGGGGGGGGATACAAATGTCATTACTTTTAGTAAGTAATTTGGTAAAGGAGACATGGAAGATTCTTAATTATTTTTTTAGGATTTTTTTTCTTTTAATTGTAGATTTTATTAACAAAAAACTGCAAAAATCGTCCGACTTCACCCCAAATGACGGTACCTATGTACAAATTTGTGAAAGTATGCTTAAAAAGGCTAAAGCTTCTGGTTGATCCTTACATAGCTTTAATGGAGTATAGAAATACCCCAATTGACTACGGTTGAAAGGAAAGTCTTCAAGTGAGTTAGTATTTGGACGAAATATAAATGCATTTTACCCTCAATTGATGATTTTTGTATAGGTAGATATTAACTTTTGTAA